CAATTTTCACGCCGAAAAATCACTGAGATTATCATCAAAAATTAAAAATGAATGAAAAGTTTTGAAATATATATCATTCGCTTCAGTTTTTGAGGCTGATTTTGAATATGATATTTTTATTGCATAACGGATGAGTTCTGATGGTGACAATTGAATTCTGATTTTTTCGCTTGTGATCTCGAAAAAATGAATTTTCTTAGTGAAAAAACAAAATTAAAAAATCGCGATATATCATGTTAAAACTGACAGTTTGGCGGTTCGAATAAGATAAGAGAAATGGCAAAATCTATTCACACAAAAAACTAGATAAGTTTACAAAATGACCTACTGTCGTTTTGGAGGATCAGTTCAAGTGAAGCAGGCTAAATCAGTTTTTAGGTTTGAGATCAATCAAACACTTTCTTTATACTCAATTTTCAATGCTGAATTCAAAAAAGTTAGTTTCAAAACTTGAAAACAGAGAGAAAAGACAAAGTTTGAATTTTTTGAAACTGTAGCAATTTTGACCAAAATCAACCCTTCAAAAACTTTTCAAAATTTTCACCCTGAAAATTTGTTTTTCAAAACTTAAATCTAATTTTTTCTTATTCAGCTCGGTGTCCTCTATCCAACCATGTATACATATATCAAAAAGAAAAAGTTACGGAAACTTCGAGTTGCGGGCGCCTTGCTTCAGTTACTGTTGTCTGAATAAATTTGAGAATGTTCGTGTAAAAAGCCATATATCACCCACAAGATGATTACTTCAATTAAAGCAGCTGAAAATATTATTGTCATCTGTCCTTACCTTCTAAAATTCCGCTATGATCATCTTTAAGATGGAACACCAAGCATTGTAGTTGAATAATTTAACTAATGAGTAACGAACGATGGGGGAGGGGGGGGGGGCGCAGAAGAAATCGGTCACTTTGTATTTTACTTATATTTCCTTCTCATTTCACTTTTTCGTCCTGATTCTTCTTAGAAAGATGCATCATGAAATTCTCTACAAAAAATACATTGATGTTTTTATTTTCAATGAAGGTTGTAGCTGAGACTTTGAGCTATAAGATGGGGAAAAAAATTTTAAATCTTTAATCATGGCCGGGAGCATTGAGAAATAGTCTTTGTTATGATGAATAATTACTATTTGGTTATTTTAACTTGGTTCATTGGCTGACATGGTATTTTGAGTAGAATTATAGTAGTCCCACTTTTGAAAATCAGTTCAGAAGAAAAACAAAGTCAGTCTTTGAACAGAAGTATTTATACTGTTTGTTATAAAACTAGATAAATTGATCACAATCTCAACTGTTTCAAAATTTTATATAGTTTTGCATAGAAAGATTCTGTTAGATTCAAAATTAAGACCCAACAGAAAGTTTTGAAATAGAACAAATGATAGTTTCTTCTTTATTTAAACTAGATCACAAATAATATCTTATTTAATAAACACTAGTTATAGAAAAAAAAAGTTTAACTTTAATTCAAAAGCGATGTTTTAAAAGTAACATTTGAAACCAAATCAACATAAACAACTAAAATAATTCTTTTGTTTCAAATATAACAAAATGAAATCAATAAAAAAAAACAAAAAAAACGAAACTTTATCTATAAATAATTATCCATTAAACCTAAATATTAATTTACTTTTGTATCCGATTCATTACTTAATGCCATTATTTCCAAAAATCCCTAAAGAAAATAACTAATCATAGTAGTAGTTATAAATTAAACATTAAATTTATACTTTTATCGCTGTGCTAACACCATTAATATCTAGTAAGAATGTATCGTGACCATAAATACTGTTCAACTCATAAAATGTAACATGTTCATTTCCTTAAGGAAAAAAAAAAGATCAGAGTATAAAATGTGTTCAACAAGGATAGTAACATGATTACCAGTCTGAATCAATCCTTCTGCTAGCTGCTTTTGTTGCCATACTGGAAAAAGAATATCAGTTTGTGCACCCAATACCAGCACAGGACATTTAATTTGTGCTAAAGCACTACTCAGATCTTGATATCCTTCTGATAAATTGAACAAATCCATTGCCTAAATGAATAGATCAAAACAATTGTTTTCATCAACTTTTCTATATTCTACTTACGAGAGGACGTCGCGAACTGTCAGATCGCTTTTTCAGCCAAACTTGGTGAATTATAGGTTATCAACTATGCTGAATCCAAATAGTGGTAGCTACCAAGAAGCCTTCAGAGAGCGGTTTTCTGGAAAGTCTTTCAAAAACTCTAAAAAGTAACCAAAGCCTTTCTTAATGATACATGATTATAACGCGTAAATTTCTGATTAAAATGAGACATCTCCACACTCTACACGACCTTTCTTTGCAGAGTTATAGAATTTACAAGAAAAGCCCTAAATGTTCATTGTCAGCTCAAAGCTACAGAAATAAGAAGAAATTAATTTAGTGCTTTTCGTGTAAATTCTATAACTTTGCGAAGGTCGTGTAGAGCATGGAGATATCTCATTTTAATCAGAAATGTGCGCTACATTCATGTCTCATTAAGAAAGGCTTTGGTTACTTTTTAGAGTTTCTGAAAGACTGGTTTTCCAGAAAACCGCTCTCTGAAGGCCCCTGAGCAGCTATCACTATGATATTTGGCTTCAGCATAATCGATAATTTATAACCCACTAGGTTTGGCTGAAAAAGCGACGTGACAGTTTGTGAGGTCCCCTCGTTAGTGTATACCTTTGATATGTACAATAATGAGTTTGGATCATATTTTTGTGCAAATGTTACACCTTGATGATGCAAATATCGTTCAATTTCAAATGTTGACTCTAATTTAACCAAATCATTAAATCGTCTATTACCAAAACGTTGAAACCATTCGGGACCCGATCGATCTTAAACATGACTTATATATAATAACTCATAAATGAAGTTGTACTTGCAAGAAAATTTGCAATATTAATAGATGTACATACAAGTAAGTGTCGCTATTTCTCTTGCTATTTGCATTCCATCTTTGGGAAATGTTTGTTGTCCATAGTAATCACCATTATTCCAATTAGGATCAGTCATAATCATTTTACGCTGTAAATAACGTAAGGCAATGGCAGTTGGATAAGGACAGGCACACGAGGATATTGTGACAATTCTAGAAGAGAACACAAAATAGTTGATGTTCAATAAAGATTTCGAAAATCATCTTACCGAACAACTCACTTGGAAACAGTGTTTGGGAATAAAAGTCCCGATAACAATGAGCACATACCACCTAAAGAAGCTCCAACACTTGCATGAAGCTAAGAGAAAAAAGAACAGCAAAAAAAAATACATTATCATACGAATAAAATATCTACCTTTTCGATTCCTAAGTGTTTGACAAGTAGAAATTGTGCGTTGACAAAATCTTCAACGGATATCATTGGAAATGTACTACCGTAATGTGTGTTAGTTTTAGGATCGATCGAAGATGGACCCGTTGAACCATAACATCCTCCAATATGATTACAACATATCACAAAAAAATGATTTGTATCAATCGCCAGACCAGGACCAATAAATCGTTCCCACCATCCAGTTCGTTGATTTTTCTAAAAATCTTTTAATAGAGAGATTTGATTCAAATTAGAAAATAGATTTATTTACCTCATGACTTTTAGCATGTGAACTTGCACTTAGTCCAGTAAAGATTATTACAGCATTATTTTTCTTTGAATTTAATTTTCCCCATGTCTCATAAGCAACATTAAAATTTGTTAGAGTCGCATTGTTATATTTCAATTTCAATGAATCAGCATAGTGAAATGTTTCATAACCAGATATCACATTTTGATATGCGGGCTCTGGACCACTTAGACTTGTACTTGATAGACTGAAAATTTAAAAACTAGTCAAAATGAGATAATATGAACGATAAATATCCTCAAGTTTTCAGATGTCAATTTTTATTCTTACCCGGGACCATTCTCAAGTGATACACTCCGTTAGAACTCATACTTTGGTCAGCGATGGTAGAGATAAAAACCTTAAAGAATTTGAACCACATTACTGTTTGGTTCTGGAGAAACGAGTGAAACAAGTTTCTCTAATTGGTACCATCACTGTGCTTGCAGTGATTTTTGTTCTTTTTATATCTCAATAACAAAACATTATTTTGTGCTGAAAATTTCCTAACACTCTCTCATCTGATATATGAGTATTTACAGTAAACATTTCAATTGAATCGGACTTGTTGTTCGCGAGACACATAGCTTCTTATCTATACTGTTTTTGTATGTAGTTTAGATATGGACGGGACCAAGGATTTTCAGTTCCAGTTCTGGTCCCGTAAGATTGTTTCGGTCCCATTCCTGTTGCTTTTTCAATGAAACTAATGGCTTTTTTGGAATCTCAAATTGAGATTTTGGTGTTTTTAATAAAGTTTACAGGACGTAGATAGAAAGTTCAATGTCTACAAAAGAACTGTAAGACTTCCTGACGATTTTCTTCAACATTTCAATATAACTATGGAGAACAGACGAAATTTTAGCTGATTTTATGCAACTGTCAAAAGAGATCTTAGTTCTAGTGCTGGTCCCGGTCTCAGTTCCGCCCATGTCTAATGTAGTTAGACCAAACGAGAATCCAAAAAGGAGGAGATTGTTTGCCATTGTTTTTACTGAACAATGTTAATTCATCCCGCCGCGTAGAAGCCACCTCCTTTCTCGAAAGGGTTAATAAAACAAAACACTCGTAAAAGAGTGTGGAAACAAGAAACCCCTTTTTAGACTTTGGGGCGCAATTGTACGCTGTTTTTATTTTTACTTTTTTTGTCCTTGTGAGCTCATTGAAAAGCTCTGTTTTGGTTCAAGGTGTTTTATTAACATTGATCAGTAAAAACAATGGCTAAACAAAGTCTCTTTTTTGGATTCTCGTTTGGTCTAACTACATACAAAAATAGTATAGATAAGAAGCTATGTGTCTCGCGAACAACAAGTCAGATTCAATTGAAATTTTTACTGTAAGTACTCATATATCAGATGAGAGAGTGTTAGGAAATTTTCAGCACAAAATAATGTTTTGTTATTGAGATATAAAAAGAACAAAAATCACGCCAAGCACAGTGATGGTACCAATTAGAGAAACTTGTTTCACTCGTTTCTCCAGAACCAAACAGTAATGTGGTTCAAATTCTTTTAAGGTTTTTATCTCTACCATCGCTGACCAAAGTATGAGGTCTAACGGAGCGTATCACCTGGGAATGTTCCCTCGTTAGTTAATTGTCAAAGGTTTTTCGACTTACCATTTGAATATCCAGTTACTTTTAATTGAATGTTTCTGATTTACTAATGTAAAAAATAAGAATCGAGACGAACGCATTTTAAAACCAAAAGGACAATGTCCTCAATGTTCAGAAGTTTTTCTTATCTTCGAGGATATGATTTATCCATGCTCTCGTCATTCAGTCAATGTGCTGGACTCTTTTCTTTTTTTCTTTCAAATGCAGCGCGATGCAGTTACAATATTATAACCTTCTTGTTGATGTTGGTTTTTTTTCGTTCTTTTTTTCTCTACTTCTACTTCGTTTTCATCAGACATCATATATGAATTACACATAGCTATGATAGTAATCATATGATATACTTGTTGCTCGTATGTGTAATAAAAAAAAGAAAAATATTTGCTTGACAGAACGACAAAATTTGTTCTGTACGTGCAATATTAATATACAGATGAGCAATACAATTGGAAAATGACAATTCAGCTTTTTTAAGATAAATTGAAAAACTGAGAATTATTTCCAGTCTTTACAGAATGATTATTTCTAGGTGGGATTAGACGAATTAAAACTGACTTTTCTTATTATTGTTAAAAAGTTACATAACGGTTTTTATGCGATCATCTTGTAGAGTTGATTGAAATACTATGAATTATTCTTAAACATATTTAGTAGTAAGCATGAAACAGTTACAGTTACCGTTCCTAGTAACTAGAATTGATCATCAGTTACCGTTTTCTTCATAATCAAGATGTAGAAAAGTTGATATTCATCTATCTTGTTTTTTTATACTGTAATAAATTCATCTATTATCGTTTTCAAAAAGCAATGTCCCTGACTAAATTTTGAATAACTCCCCCATAGAAAGAGATATCGATCTCTGATTTTCGCAGATCGCTAGCCAACACTTTTTTGCATATAGCCATGCAAAAAAAAAACACTCTCAAAAAATAAATTT